AATTCGAATAGTTCGCACATTTCTAATGTGAATATAGTTTTATTATATACATATTTTGCTACAAATATTAATACTTACAAGTAACACTAGAGAAGTGCCATACGGCGATTTTCCTGAAACTTGACATACAAGTAGTACATGGAAAACTATTGGATATGTATATTGTTATATCGGCTCGAAAGCCGTTTGAAGGGTAGAAATCACACTTACCGATTTTGGAGATAAGATCTTCGAGAGACGAGTGTGGTATAGTGGATAAGGTGCGTATCATACAAGCGACCCAGGTTCGAATCATACTCTACGGAAAACTTTTTTATCTGTTTTTAAATTTAAGTGCGAGCGTTAAAAGATTTACAATTTGTGTATAGGAAAAAATGTTAATTTGTATGGAGGTTGCGTTATAAATAACTGTATATAGACGAAAAGAAATCAATTTAAAAAAATTAATTATAATAATTAAATAATAGAATTTAATTTTTAACTAAAAAAAAAAGGGAATAATTTCTCCCTAACTCCACGTTGGTTATTCCTGGGCTCAATAAAGAGTGAGAAAATTTTTATCCTGCATTCTTGGTTTGTTAAAAATCAAGTCGGTCATATTGTATCCGCCATGGAGAATTATCAAAAACTGACTTCAGAATCCATTCCAAAAACCTCTAGATACCAACCCTAATAGCAATATTTCAGCAGACTGACGGCAGAATGAATCAGAGGTTTACAGCAGATTGGTGCCAACTGCTTATACATTGTGCCCGCATTCTGACGGCAGAGTCTGACAACATTATTTGACGGCAGACTGATGGCAGAAACAAAGCAGATCCTGACGTACACAGTCTAGTGACAGATTGACGGCAAAAACGTATCAGATCCTGACGTACGCAGTCTGGCGGCAGATTGACGACAGAAATACAACAGATTCTGCAGTACGCAGTCTGGCATCAGAATGACGGCAGAAACGTAACAGATCTTGCTGTTCACAGCCTGACAGCAGACTGGTGACAGAAATACAACAGATTCTGCTATATTCATTTTTACATCCCCCTCCCCCCTTCCCATTCAGTCATGCACATTACGTGAAAGTAATTATTAAAAAACAATATAATATACGAACGTAATTGTTTTTATTTATCACACAAGACAAAACGAGACAGCCAATCAGATTCACAATGGTGAATGGCGGAACACGAAGGCGACGATGTTTCTTCTCATAGTCTCAGGAAGCGACGATACACGATGACTTCGAGACGATGTTGGAGTAACTGATAATAGGGTTTGTGAACGGTGAAGTGGCAATCTGCTGCGATATCTGTAAATTGAAATTATATTACAGTTGCATCTTTATAACTACAGTTACGTATAATATGTTTAAGTAAGTACATAAATTAAAAGTTACATTGTATTAATGTCACAATTTCCCACAGGAAATACAATACACGTGTCGTATTCATAGTGGCATAGCAAATTGTAGCATCGATACATTGTAACTCTTAATAATTGCTGGCATGAGACAGGAAAATCAGAGAAATCTAGATAAAAATATTTACCTGTGTCTCTTGCGTTCTTCGGTAATAGATTCGTCGATCCTCTGTGACATCCGATGATGACCTAAACTCCCGTGATGACCTAAACATGTAAAATATCCGGGAGACACCACAAAGTCGATACAGAGTACCAATTGTCTATGCCCAGAAGTCGAAATTATTTGCCCGTTTCAACCGATTTATGAGAGGTACGCCTATTTCTCTTGTTTCTCCGCTCGTCCAAAGGTCCCTACAAGGGAGGACGGTCACGCCGCCCAGGTATAAGTTGTCATGTATCATTTGTAGGGATCTTCGGAAAGCGATCTTTAAACGTGGCAATAGAAATGAAAGAATCTGATTGGTTCATTTCCTTATGCGTTATGCATTATGCAAAAGTGTGTGCTTTCCGCATTACTTGTCCGATTTAGCCGATTTTTTAAGGCTACGCCTACTTCTCTTCTTTTTTCTTTCCGAAGATCCCTACAAATGATACATGACAGCTTATACCTGGGCGGCGTGACCGTCCTCCCTTGTAACGACCTTTGGACGAGCGGAGAAACAAGAGAAATAGGCGTACCTCTCAAAAATCGGTTGGAACGGGCAAATAATTTCAACTTCTGGGCATAGACAATTGGTACTCTGTGTCGACTTTACGGTGTCTCCCGCACATTTTACATGTTTAGGTCATCACAGGAGGATCGGATGTCACGGAGGATCGACGAATCTATTACCGAAGAACGCAAGAGATACAGGTAAATATTTTTATCCGGATTTCTCTGATTTTCTCGTCTCATCCCAGCAATTATTAAGAGTTACAATGTATCGATGCTACAATTTGCTATGCCACTATGAATACGACACGTATATTGTATTTACTGTGGGAAATTGTGACATTATTACAATGTAACTTTTAATTTATGTACTTACTTAAACATATTATACGTAACTGTAGTTACAAAGATGCAACTGTAATATAATTTCACTTTACAGATATCGCAGCAGATTGCCACTTCACCGTTCACAAACCCTATTATCAGTTACTCCAACATCGTCTCGAAGTCATCGTGTATCGTCGCTTCCTGAGACTATGAGAAGAAACATCGTCGCCTTCGTGTTCCACCATTTACGGTAAACACTATTGTGAATCTGATTGGCTGTCTCGTTTTGTCTTGTGTGATAAATAAAAACAATTACGTTCGTATATTGTATTGTTTTTTAATAATTACTTTCACGTAATGTGCATAATTGAATGGGAAGGGGGGAGGAGGGATGTAAAAATGAATATGGCAGAATTTCTGTCACCAATTTGCTGTCAGGCTGTGAACGGCAGGAACTGTTACGTTTTTGCCATCATTCTGGTGCCAGATTGCGCACAGCAGATTCTACTGTATTTCTGCCGTCAATCTGCCGCCACACTGCGTACGTCAGGATCTGTTTCCGTTCTGTCGTCAATCTGCCGTCAGGCTGCTTAATAGAATCTATTCAAATGTTGACGTCAATCTTATATCAAACTTCTGTAACAGATTTTGTCTCAATGCTGCTGGCATTCTGCCGACATAATTTGATATTGCAGAATCTGTATTAATTTTGACATCAGTTTGTCATCGACTCCTGCAGCAGGCGTCTGGCAAAATTTGTTTCGGACAGATTGGGTTATTAGGGAAGTTTCATGAAAATTCAACAATTGTTTAGAAATTCCTCTGCCATACTGGATCCACCATTTTGAATTTTTGAAAACGGTCTTTAGATTCGTATTCAGGGTCCCCGAAAACCCCTAGATACCAATTGTCATAAAAATTAAACCTTTTTGAAAAAATGCGACCGCCATGTTGGATCCGCCATTTTGAATTCTTAAAATCGAACTTCAAATTTGTTATCAGCAACCCCAAAAACCCTTAGTTACCTGATTTCGCAACAATCGTAAAAATAATTCGTAAAATAGTCGAACTTACCTCCAAAATCGATAAGGGTGATTTCTACCCTTCAAACGGCTTTCGGGCCGATATAACAATATACATGTCCAATAGTTTTCTATGTACTATTTGTATGCCAAGTTTCAGGAAAATCGCCGTATGACACTTCTCTAGTGTTACTTGTTAGTAATTTTCTTTTCTTTTATGTATTTGTACACGGGCTGTCGTAGGCCCTAGAACAGAATTTTTAGATATTATACCAGAATGGCCAGGTAGTCAGCATGACAGTCGAATTTTCTAAAACTCTAGGATATACACGAGATATATTGAACAACTTACAGGTACTCTAGTAGGAGATGCTGGGTATCCTTGTCTACCATTTCTTTTAACTCCACTTCCAAATCCAGAAACAGATGAGGAAATCGCGTTAGAATTATATCTTTAATACAATTCATCATTTTAAAATTCTAATTTTGTATATAAAAGTATTGTTAAAAATTGTTGAAATTATAAAAAATGTTTTTAAAAATATTGTTATAAAAGTACAGCGATTTAGTATTTACAAATGTAATAATTAAATAAATATTTCTTATTACAGTTACAATGTACTTCACAGAAGGACACGTCAGGTTGTCGAAAGAACGTTTGGAATTTGGAAGCGTAGATTTCCATGCCTATCGAGAGGGTTAAGCAACAAGTTGATTTGTTCAACTACAATTATAGTCGCTTGTGCTGTACTATACAATTTGGCATTAACTTTTAATGACATTTTAGAAGAAAAACAAGAAGAACAGTATAATGAAATTGATGTGCCAATTAATGAACCACATTGGCAACCAGGTGAAGGTTTTGCGATAAGAGCAGCACTTATTGAAAGACTGTTCAGATAAATAATATAAGACAAAATATTTCAGTAAGAACTATATGTATAGAAAAGTTGACTTTTATATAGATATATATATATATATATATATACTTGTCTATACACAGACAAGTTACATAGAGATCAATATGAATAAGATATAGATATAAGTTAGAGATAAGATACATATACCCAGATAGCAAAATGTCGGCAGAATGACGGCAAATTCGATCAGAAATTTGCAGCAGATTTACATCAAGTATACTACCATTAGGCTTGCACTGTGCCGGCAGAGACTGTCTAAATTATTTTAAGGCAGACTGTCAGCAGAAACCAAGCTGAACATGCCGAATATAACCTAACAGCAGATTTGCAGCAGAAACCGAGCACACCGTGCCGAACAGCGTCTGACGGCAGATTTGCGGCAGAAATCGAGCACATCGTGCCAAGCAGCATCTAACGGTAGATTTACGGCAGAAACCGAGCATACTGTGACGTTAATTATTGCCCCTTCCTCCTTTTATAAATTGAACTTATATTAGGCTAGAGAAGTTACTTAATAAAAGTACAATGATTATAAAATAGAAACTTTATTATATAATTAAATATATTTGATAACAGATCTATTCATTTTTGAAGAACTGAATTAATTCAATAAGTTAGAATGAGAAACGAACATATATTATTAAAATTTCCGTTTTTTCCAAATTTTTACATAGAAAAGTTCACGTTTTTTCGATTACATTATACAATATTTGAAAAATTAGAAAAAAGAAATTTTAACACACAAGAAACCAACATAGGTCTGTTTTCTATTACTGTACTACTGAGCTAAAGTAATAAGTTAAAGTGAAAAAATATATAACTGTCTCACTTTAACTTATTGCACCTGTTCAGCAATGTAGAAACAGGAAACAGATTCAAAGTTCTTCAAAAACGAACAGATTAATTATAAATTACAAATATTTGATATATATTAAACTGGCAACTGAAAAGTGCCGTTTGGTCAATCGCAGTTTTTTTTTTCAGTGGGAGAAAATCCATCATGAACACCCCGGGACCCGTGCTGGGGAGCCCCGAGGTAGTGCCGGACTCCTACCGACTCGCCCACCGTGCGATCCTCCGGATGGTGTCCCTCGTAGTCCTACTTACAGCCCTGCGATTATCTTCCTTCTTTCCTTCGTAGACATCGAATTGATCACCTGTATAGAATGCAATGGAGGAGTAAACGTTTTAATAAGAGTAGAATTTGAATATAAATTACAAAATAATACACTGAATATATAGTTATATTGTATACATCTTCTAATGTTCCTGACAGCACAACATAAAAAATAATATGACCATATCTGAATAAATGTTCTAATGATGGAATTATGTGACTATTTCACAAATTACTTGTAGAAATATTCTGTATTTATATAATATTGTGAACTGCTTAGGCATTTGATTGTTCTAAATACAGTTGTAGCAAAACTGTAATGATTGAGCAAATTATTTTTATATTTGCAAAATTATATGTTAAAATTAATATTTCTCACCAATGGTAATTTCTCTCTGCTATATTTTATTTTATAAGTATTCTGCTAAGATGATTCGTTTAATCGTTGTTTTGTTAAAATAGTATTCAGAAATATTAATTGCGTAAACAGTTCACAATTTTTTATATATATACGATTTTCCTATAAGATTTCATAGAATATAGCCTCAATTGCATAACAATTTTAATTAGATATCGTCATTATTTTCTATAACTGCTTTTTTTAATCATAATTTATGATGCTCACGTAACAAATGTTGAAATTTCGCTTATTCATCGCTGTCTGCAAGATCATCCGCTTCATCATTTCAAAAATTTTGCGCTCTTCGATCCGGTCCTTCAGCACGCGGTCCACGTGATTTCGTTCTTTTCCTCTGCTTGGCTGCCCGTAGAGCTTCTCGCTTATGCGCTTGAAATTTCGAACGTGTTGGTTTGGTGAAATTCCGGTTACCGCATACTGCCTCTAAAAAAAATCGAAATATATATAAACATTAAAAACAGTATCCATAACTCTAAATATATATTTTTATAAAATAATACTGTACCGTAAATAGCTAGAATGATGCGAGCATTATATAAGGGTCTTGCACCATCGTGGCGACCCCACCAAGTAAAAAGTGACGTGATATCGTCTGTTATTGCTTCCTTGAAGCAGAGGTTGACAGTTTCTTTCAGGTTAAAGCCTCCGATATAATTAAAATAACCTATCTAAGAAAATAAATATAGAAATTAATATATGTACAATGTTAAATATCAAGAATTGCAGATAATATACGCTAATAATTAAATATTTTTCTCTACTTACAAGTTCTCCATATTCATCGTCGTTAATTAATTCAAAAGCGTCCATCTCAGCGTAGCTAGATATCGGCAGGCTGGTTGGTTTGCGGGGCAAACGTTTACGATCCCGATTAGTTTCCAAGGACTTTAAAATGCTTTGTAGCGTACTGTTCATTTTCCTAAAACAAATTATTGTCAAAATATTTGTATTATATAAAGATTGCTTTATCATACACAAGTGAGATGGAAATTTAAAAAAATACATTGAGAACCTACTTCAGCTTCCAAACGGTCCATGCGTTCGTGAACTGACCTGGAACTATTACTTGATATTTAAAAATTATAAAAACCTTCAGGACAAACATTATGCCATTTTTTATTATATTTCACTTTTCACAAAAGCCACAGTATTTACACTAATCCTACATATTAACATATTTGTGAAATATATTTTAAAAACAAATACAAGTTCCTGACAGCATTTCGTTGAGAAATAATAATGTTTGTATCTGAATGAAATTTGCAGGGCTGCAATTGTTATATGTGACAAATTACATATAAGAATATTAGAGAAATATATTAAATATTTTTGTAACAGTTAATACAATGAATTCTTATAAATACTATTTCAACAAATATTATTTAAGAAAATTAATTGTATAATGTGGTTATATCTGACAAATGTCTACAATGTTGTATAAATATTTGATAAGTGTTGAGAGATAGAGTGTGTAATGCATATGTTGTTAAATAACATATGTAGCGCGTTATAAAAATATAAACTCATTGTATATGTAGTAACCCTAACAGCACAAATGTCCAAAAGACGTCCAAAGTACGTCCTAAGGACATCCTGGGGACATTTCTTCATCCTCAGGACGTCCATAGGACGTTCCCAGGAGATAATGTGCTGTCTAGGAATCAATATATAATAAAAACAGAAAAAAGGAAAAAAGATGACGATCGAGCGATTGCCAATAAATAAAGTGATATGGCATATGAAACATGACGAACAGAAGTAAAAAATAAAAAAATCGTTTAAATGGTATAATTGTGACCTCATTTTGACGGTACCATATTTAAAGTCTACACACACTATATCACTGTATACAACTACAAAATTGCGGCTTTATAAATCTCTTCATTCTAAATATCTTTATTATTATTTTTTGCAAGACACAGTTTTTATTTATTGACATTTAAGGCTCCCGGCCCCTTGCATTGTCTCTCTTTTTTAATGACGTCAGAAGCGAGATAATGTAGGCTAAAAATTTTTGCAAAATACGTTACAATAAAAATATATCCATAAAGTAACACTTGCAGTCGATTTAACAAATTTGTAAGATATTACATGCACTCTTCTTTTGCAATTATATGTAATATACAATGAGTTCATATTTTTATAACGCGCTACGTGTGTTATTTGACAACACACGCACATATACACGCTCTGTCTCTCAACATTTATCAAATATTGTAGACATTTGTCAGATATAACCACATTATACAATTAATTTTCTTAAATAGTATTTCTTGAAATAGTATTTATAAGAATTCATTGTATTAACTGTTACCAAAATATTTAATATATTTCTCTAATATTCTTATATGTAACCCAGACATCACCGGACATCCAATGGATGTACATTTCACATCCAATTTATGTCCGTATATCTGATTTACGTCCGTGGACATAAATTGGATGTACAAGGATGTCCTTATTTGGACATCGGACCTGTAGGACGTCCGATGTACGTCCATTGAACATCTGGGAATTTGTCACATACAACATAATTACAGCCCTGTAAATTTCATTAAGATACAATCATTTCTCAACGAAGTGCTGTCAAGCACTTGTATTTGTTTTTAAAATATATTTACAAACTTACAGATTATTTGATTCAGTAGTCCGTGGAGTCTCCGCAGGTGCTATTTCGTGTCCAGGTTGTCCTGTTGGAGAAGGCACTATCTGAAACTGAGAATGTTGACTATTACTATAATAAGTTCTCTGCTGTATTTGCTTTTCTACATGTTTATCATGAGTGTATGGAGAAACGTTATAATTTGATGAGGAAATGCGAGGAATGTTTTGGGACATTGTATATGGGTGTTGTGTGGCTTGAGATGCAGAAGTTTGTGAACATGGAGTTAGTGAAGTTTGTGGATATGGAGCTTGTGGACATGGAGGTTGTGAATATGGAGTACTAATAACATACGGGAATGTGTGTTCTTGTGTATTAATAGTATTAAGATTATTGGAAGAGTTATCTGGTTCGAGTAACCTTCTCAATTCGCCAATATCGTCTTCGATATCTTCCTGCACATCTCCTCAGGATTCTTGCATCTTCCTGCATTTCGGGCCTTCCTCTGACGATGACGTGGTTTGATAACGTGGTGACTTCGTTATTGTGCATTTTGATCGATCTGTCATCTAGGGAAAAGAATATAATATATAAACAATATTAATATTTATAATACGCTTCTATATCATTTATTAATTGTTGCCTGTTATAATAAATCAAATGTAAAATCATATAAAAATGTTTTCATTTCTGAAAGAAGTGAGTTGTAAGAAAACTATTGTAGAGTATATATTATACTTGATATATATATTATACTTGAGTGATTATCTTCAAGAAACGAATAAAATTCAAGCAGTTGTTATGTTGTGAAGTGGAGACAGAACTTTTACATAATATGAGAAAGAATATAGTCGAATTAAAATAAGATATGACGGCAGAGCAACTATAGTTGCTACAGTAAATGCAACAAGTAAAAAGAGAAGAAAAATTGCAAGTCATTAAATATACAAAAGTATTATGTTATATACAAGAAAAGAAGTGCTGCAGACCATGCTCTTTAGAATTTATTAGTCAATTTTCATCTTACTTATATTCCACATGTATAATTGCTGCGATGAAATATGTCATTAAGAGCAAAAATAAAATAAGTCAATTTTATTCTAATTGGAATTGACATAAAAGATAAAGAGCTATTTTGTTTCTTTTTGTTTAAGGCTGCCTTTCGATATGCATTGTCAATTTGGAAAATCTATAGCTGCTGTTAAGTATATTATGGATTCTCTGACATTCACTGACATTGTATATCAGAAACGCAGTTTTAGACTTTACAATTCAAATTAAACAAAAATTATCTTATCCAATTTTTGCTCTCCATGACTATGGTGGTTATCAGTTTGCTTCCGACTGATCCTCTTTATAATTATAGTTATTGCCCATTAATATAAAACCATGAAGAAGCATTCTGTAACATTTTATATGAGGCTTTTTTTGTTGCACTGCTGAACTGGTGCATTAGATAGGGACAAATATGTTTTCTTACTTTATTTTGTTTCATCAATTCAGCAATGTATCGTAAAAAGATAGACTTTGTTCACAGAAATTAATAAAATGTGGCTGCACGATATTTTGTACTTGTATAAACCAAATATATGTCGACAAAGATACATGCAAAAAATTGACCGATTTAATGACCGCAACTTTCTTGTAATCCCTAACACAACCTAACGTTCTCTTTTGCTGTACTGATAATATATACAATGATTTGCACAAAGTAAATAATTTTATGTAGATAATTAATACGTTCCATATTGACGTGTTTTCTTCAATGTACGCTGCAGCTACATGGTGCAATGACCAATATTTCAAATACATCCGTTTGTTTCACTTGTTGCAATCGCCGTGTTATTCCATGTCCTCTTCTGTCACTTCGTTAATCTTTTTTCACTCACCTTGATTTACCAATTCTTCTTTCGTCACGCTCTCGTCTTTTGACTATTTAAAGTCTTACTATTTATAATCAAAGCTCTTGATTACGCTTTTTTTCTATCATTTTACACTGGATATTCCTCGGTCAGCTACCATTACGGCGGTTGAACTCGGAATGCCGCAAGTCGCAACATGTTAAGAATAAGTGGGACGGGTTCGACCAATCAGTATTACACTCATATTTCGTACCAATCGCAGAACATCTTTTTGGTGGCATATTGTTCGCCACGTGTTTTTCTTAAGGCCGAGTCTACAATAGACGTAGTAAGCTTTAAGCCTTAAGAAATTAACCAATCCTAATCGATTTTTACAAGAATAATCGAATAAATTTAGCAAATTTCTTAAGGCTTAAAGCTTACTACATCTATTGTAGACCCGGCCTTATGGCTCTCGCAGATCAGCGCGATGTACGATGGTACGCGATACGCGAAGCGCGATATCCAATAAGCGTACAGCTCTTTCTGAATAACAGCACGCTCATTGGATATCGTGCGTCGCATATCATGTATCGCGTCGCACATCGCGCTAGCTGCGAGAGCCTTTACGGTTAAAACTTTTCTACGTGCAAAGGCCTTGAGAAATATAATATACTTGAATGATTACCTTTAAGAAACAAATCTAATTCATGCAATCGTTATGTTGTGTGATGGAGACAGAATTTTTTCGTATAACGTGGGAAAGAATATTGTCGAATTAAAATAAGATATGATGACAGCTAATAAATGTAACTAATGAGCAACTAATAAATGCAACAAGTAATGCAAAAAGAAGGGAAAAGTGCCAGTCGTAATGACAGATGACAGATCGACTGCTCTAGACCACTGAGCTATCTGACGCTCCACGCTCACGACACTCTCCTCTCCCTAGATAACGTTGAGAGATGTCGTTCGGAAGTGACATCTCTAATGCTATCTCGAGCGCACGGCGACTGCAGAGAGAGGCATTGTTACTTGTACCTAGTGATACAAGCTGGTGTATCTCAAAGTCAAAGGTTGCTATCCTTTAAGACCTGCTGTCCATGTATGCCCGCCTCCACCGTTGCCCCTCCTTATCTGGTGCAAATAATAGAAATAAGCCCCGGGGTCGACGCCATATTTTGGCTGCCCCCGGGCGCTTGGACACGTTTTTGCAACGCGCCGAAGGGGGATCCACCAAACTTCTGCATTCCAACCAACACAATATCCGTACACAATGTTGCAAAACATTCATCGCATTTCCTCGTTATAATATTTCCTATACATTTATAACGAACATGTAGAAACGCAAATAAAACACAAATCTTAGTATACTAATACCTCGATAGCACAACTTTTAGAAAATGCTGATAGAATGAAATTGGTAATGTTGCAATTATGTGTCTATAATGCTCAAATTACTTGTAGAAATATCAAGTATTTATAAAATAATGTTTATTGTTTTATTATTAATTTATTATTATTAAGTTTGAAATAATTCAGCACAACAATAACGATATGGCGTATCATCTTGGTGAAATGTTTGTAAAATATAAAAATCCGTAATATATATAGGAAATAAATATAACTCACACCGAAAAAATTCACAATTTATAAATATTCAATATTTCTACAAGTAACTTGTGCATTATAGCTACATAGCTGCAGCATAATAAATTTCATTTAGATTTCGTCATACTTCCCAAAAATTGTAATATCGGGGTAGTCAACATTCTCAGTTTCAAGTAGCCTTCTCCAACAGGACAAACAGGAGAACATCACGAAGTGGCACCTACGGAGTTTTCCCATAGGCTATTGAAGCAGACAATTTGAAAGTCTGCAAATATATTAGGTGCGCAACTAAGTTCTCGTTTTTTTGATGAAAATGCAACTTTATTGTGAAAAAATGGTTACAAATGAATCATTCAAAATATTGCCCATCGCTAGCGACAACTTTTTCCTATCTTTCTGGCAGAGCTCGAATACTGTCACGGTAGAAGTGTTCGTCTTTTGAGGCTATCCACGAATCAAGCCATTTTGAGATGTCTTCATATGAGCGGAACTGCTGATTAGCCAGACCATGTGCCATCGAACGGAACAAGTAATAATCGGACGGCGCAATATCTGGGGAATATGGCGGGTGGGGTAGAACTTCCCATTTGAGCGTTTCTAAGTAGGTTTTGACGGGTTTGGCAACGTGAGGCCGAGCGTTGTCATGCTGTAGAATCACTTTTTCGTGCCTCTGCTCGTATTGTGGCCGCTTTTCGCGCAGTGCTCGGCTCAATCGCATCAATTGAGTTCGATACCGTTCCCCAGTGATAGTTTCGTTCGGTTTCAACAGCTCATAATAAATAACACCGCCCTGGTCCCACCAAATACACAGCAAAACCTTCGCAGCGTGAATATTCGGCCGAGCCGACGACGTAGAAACATGACCGGGCAGTCCCCATGATTTTGTTCTTTTTGGGTTGCTGTAATGAATCCATTTTTCATCACCCGTAACGATGCGATGAAGAAACCCCTTCCTTTTTTGCCGCTAGAGCAGTTATTCACAGGCGAAAAAACGACGCTCAACGTCTCTTGGCTTCAAATCATAAGGAACCCAAGTTCCTTGTTTTTGAATCATTCCCAACGCATGCAATCGCTTGGAAATGGCTTGGCGGGTAACTCCTAATGCTGAAACAAGCTCTTTTTGCGTTTGGCACGGATCCTCATCGAGCAATGCCTCCAATTCAGCGTCTTCGAAGGTTTTTGGCCTTCCTTCACGCGAACGGTCGTCAACATCGAAATCACCGTCTTTGAAGCGACGGAACCAATCACGGCACGTTGTTTCACTTAGAATAGCATCTCCGTAAACTTTTTGGAGTTCTCGATGCGCTTCAGCCGCCGTTTTCTTCGAATGAAAGAAGAAAAGCAACACTTCCCGCAAATGACGATTATTTGGCACAAAATAAGACATTTTCACACAATCAAAAGTATATGACGCAAAAACAAAATCACTAATGTGTCAAAGCGGTTTGTTTACCATATGTCTAAGCTTGGTTCATGACGTTTTGGTTATGTCATAATCGACCAGCACTTATTACTGGAGCCATCTCTTGAAAAACAGCGGGAACTTAGTTGCGCACCTAATATTTTAACATATCCTGAAAAGTAAACGTGCATAAAATAATACTTTAATATTGCGCATATATTAATTTCTGATATTTTTTCTCAAGTTCGCTATTTATTGATCCTGATATATACTTTCGATGATTCCGAGGTCTTCCACATATGGTACGTGGCGTACTACAGCGTTTTTAGTGGGTGCGAGTACCACACTATCCGGAGTGTCCCTTGCACAGGTCTCCGGGTGTGCATAATGCATTTTCCCTGCCTAAAAAAAAAAAGAAAAAGAAAGGTAAACTACTTTAATTACATCGGAGGTTTAATCTTAAAGAAGCCGTTAACCTGTATTCGAAGGAAGTAACAACAAACGACATCACGCCGTTTTTTACCTGGTATGGCCTGATGAAAATATTTTGGAAATATAATGAATTTTTTGCTGAAATTTTATCTCAATTGACCTAATTTCGTTATCTTTTTATTAATATACTAAGCTATCCGCTAATATATTCAGTTATCAATTAAATTCAATAGGTTTCAAAAAAATTATTTAATTTTCATTACTTTTAACAATAATGTATTAAATTTCATATAATTTCATTCTTTATGATTATTTAAAAATAAATCATAACTTTATTTATGAAAGTTAATGTAACGCTATATTAAATATAAAGAAATTTTAAATAAATTGTTGAAAACAGTGAAAAAATATGAAATGATATAAAATATTGTTATTTTTCACTATTTTCAGCAATTTATTCAAACTTTTCATATATTTCATACAATGTTATATTACCTTTCAGAAATAAAATTATTATTTATTTTGAAATAATAAAAAATGAAATTATATGAAATTTAATACATTATTAAAAGTAAGGAAAGTTAAATAATTTTTTGGGAATTATTGAATTTAATTGATAACTCCGAACATATTAATGAAAAGATAACGACATTGGATAAATTAAAAGAATATTTCAGCAAAAGTTTATTACATTTGCAGCAAAATATTTCCATCAGTGGAAGCCGCCAAGGTGATCCAAGACCCCTATATAATGCTCGCGTCGTTATAGCTATGTACGGTACAGTATTGTTATTTTATAAAAATATGTTTTAAAAGTTAGGAATACTAATGTTGGTATGTATTTGCTTTTTTTCTTTTAGAGGCAGTACGCGGTAACCGGCACTTTGCCAAGTCAACATGTTCGGAATATCAAGTGCAGATGCGAGATGCTTTCCGGGCGACTAAGCAAAGATACAGGAGCATATGCGTGCAGGACCGGATTGCAAAGCGTGCAATTTGTCAAACGGTGAAGAAGCTGATGATCCGATACAGAGCGACGAATAAAGAAGCGATGTGGACTTCCTCACATTTTTTCTCAAGTGAGAAGTCAAGCGACTTTAAATAATTAGAAAAAGCATTAATAGAAAATAATCACGGTATCCAGTTGAAATTTATTATGCAATTGAGTTGCGATTGAATTGTTATGCAACTATAAGATACTTGTAGAAATATCGTGTACGTATACGACATTGTGAATTGTTAACGCAATTAATTTTTGAAAATATTTTAGCACAACAGCAATGATTATCCCAATTATCTTAGCAGAATGATTGCAAAATGTAGCAAAGTAAATTACCATTGGCGAGAAATATTTATTTCTACATTTTATTTTGCAAATAATCCATAAAGATAATTTGCTCAATCATTAGTCTTGCTAAAATGGTATGTAGAAAAACACTTGTGTAAGCAGTTAACAATTTTGTATATATACACAATATTTCTACAAGTCAATTTTGAAACAGCAACGTAATTCCATTGTTAGAACATATATTCAGATATAGTCATATTATTTTCTATATGTTGTACTATCAGGAACATTATAAGATACATGTAATTAAAGTCATGCTTAGTATATTGTGTTGTAATTTATATTCAAATGATACTTCTCAAAATATTCATAATTGCATTCTACATAGGTGACCATTTTTACGTCCAGAAGGAAGATAATCGCCATGTGATTGGAGGAATTGGAAGAAAGCAATCGGCACTTTTCAATGTCATTTCAAGTACTCGTTGCAACACTATCGGTTTTCATATTAATAAAATAGTACTTTTCAGTGTCACATCAACAAACAGCACTTTTCATTTATTTCGTTATAATCTTGTATATTATTTCTATATTCTATATATAATATATATAATATTCTATATATAATTACATTATTTTTAATGAAACAAGATATCTAACTTTCCTTTTTCTTTATACTTTTTTTCTTAATATCTCATTCTGTATGTGACTAATATCAGAATATGTTAAGCATTATTATTGCCAAAATTAGTCCGTGAACAATAGATTTAAAAATGTCAAAAATAAATATCACTTAAATGTTAATGGTTCTTTTCAGCAAGAAACATCTTTTATTTTCTAAGATAATATGTAGCCAATAAAATACGAAAACGCATACTTTGTGCAACATATACAGTTTCTACCAACTTTGATTAATTTAACCGGTTGGTTATTCCATCGGAATTGACCAATCGCGTTTGTCAATTCTGATATACAATTAATGCGATAAGTTAATTCCGATGGAGTAAACAGCCGGCAAAATTAATCAAAATTGGTAGAAACGGACAAGTGTTCCTTACTGAAAAATACCCAATAATTATCCTTGTTTTACCTGAAGTGGGAAATACGCGCTTCGACAGTGCAATTTAAGCGAGAAGCGCACATTCGTGCATAATGGCATAATGCATAACATAAGGAAATTGACCGATCAGAGTCGTTTATTTCCATTGTGATAGTAAAAATGAGGATTTTGATTGCTTTATTTCTTTATGCGTCATGCATTATACCTTAATGCAAAAGTGTGTGCTTCTCGCTGAAGCATGCATTAGCACACATACATAATAACATCAAAAATAAATTATTAAAATAATTTCTGTAACTTAAATTAAATTGAACTTAATGCTTATAAAATGGGGGAGGAGGATTTAAATAAATCCGCATCTGCTCAAATTCTGCCGTAATTCTGTCGTAAAACGTGCTTGACGCGATGTGCTGTGTTACTGCCGCAAATCTGCCGTCAGACGCTGCTTGGCACGGTGTGCTCGGTTTCTGTCGCAAATCTGCCGTCGGACGCTACTTGGCACAGTATGCTCGGTTTCTGCTGCAAATATGTCGTTAAATTGCTCTTGGCACAATCTGCTCAATTTCTGCTATCAGTATGCTGTTACATTACTAAGGATAGTTCGATTGTTCGATAGATTGTTCGATTTCTGCCGTCAATCTGCTATCAAGTCTGTTAACAGATCTTGTATTATTGCCGACATCCTGCTGACATCATTTGATAAAATAGATTCCGCTTCAATTCTGACGCTATTCTGTCGACAAAACTTGCTGCATACATTTGCCAAAATCTGCTTTTGAGAGACTTGGCTATTAGGGTTCTTTATGAAAACGCGATTCACTTTTCTTTAGGACCGGCTATAATGAGTTATGCCTATGGCTATGCATTATGTATTTTTATGTAGATTGGAAATTCAGAAGCCATAGGCAGATTGCAGATACCATATAGCGCATGCGCTATGGCTTCTGCATTATGCCCATGGCTTCTGTAATTTTATGTGTCTCGGCCTTAAGATGGTCTTGACTGAATAAAAGGGTCTTGATCAAGTTGATCTTAAGTATTGTCTTAAGCTTGGACTATGAATACCGCCCTAGATTTACTATGTCTATGGTTTTCTCATTCTAGCTATAGACGTATAATAAATAGACCGCGCGTTCAGCGGAGGGGGCCTTCTATATTCGAAAAAGACAACATGCTTTCGTTGAGCAATTTATCGCTTTCTAACGATGCGTGGTGGGAGTAAAGCAGTCTTCCGTGACAGGGGAAACAGAAGTAGGAGAATATAGAGAAAGGGGAATTGTGAAAGGCAAAGAGAAGAAAATACGTCTGATATAAATACACGCATATGGAAAAATGACAATTTTGTATGGAAAAATGATGAATATGGACATATGACGATAGGTATAATTACATACCGGTGGAAAATAATCTGTTTGTTACTTTTATATGCATTACTGCGGCATACACAACAATATAGACTCATTGTGTTACGATTATACTTTTTGTGTTATGATTATACTATTATGAGTAAATACGTTTTATAATCTTTAATATTAATCGTCTTGTTTACATACGCTTTATTTCACGCAAAGAAGGAGAACCGGAGACATAACACTCCACTCTAAACAGGCGGAGGGGCCAAATATCCCACCACGCATCGTTAGAAAGAGATGGACTGCTCTACGAAAGTATGCTACCTCTTTCTAATATTGAACATGTGCAGACCAGGGTTGTTAAACTTCCATGTAAAATTTCTGACCAGTGTTTTAACGCCATCTAAAAGATGACCCCTAATAATATATAAACTACGTAACAAAGTAACTTACCAATCGATAAAGATGAGCTCTTATTCGTTTTAGTATATTTAATTTTATATTTAAATTTTAATCAATTTATTGGATTTGGAACAAAATGAATAACTAAAAAGCAATTTTAAAAAATAAACAATTTAAAACAATGTATACTCATTCTTTATTTTATTTTTTTTCACTGTTTTTTTTGCATATTTTGTTGATATTCGCATTGCTGCTTTATACATATAATTATCGCTATCTTTTTACATAAAATGTTGTTGATATGTGTACACCAAGCATCTATACTATTATGTATAAACAATACAGGAACCACAACATTTAATAAAACACGTTTATGCAAACATGGACTATAGTCTTCTACGAAAATGTTTATGGCACACTTTATTTTTTTGTATTTCATTGCTTGGATAATTTTCTAAATGTTTCAATTTCAAACTTTGTACCCATTTTGAGCATCTTTCAGGATCTTTGGGAAATCGATGTGAAGGCACTTCTTTCCCAGACTTGCATCCAGGAACACAACATGTCCTCCCCATATCTATGCTCAAATATCTTAGAGGGACGTTCTTTTAAAATCTATGACGCAACGTACGCTGAAAACATTTTCGATGCTACAAATAAAAAGTAACGTAACAAATACTTACGTCTAAATAACAAGCGTGTTAATATGTCTTTACCTTCACCGTATATATGGTAATTTGGAGCGAGCGACGATGACCACACAAAAAAATTCCTTTAATTACAAGAAGTGTTAAACAACGTTCAAATATTTATTGTAGAAATATAGTTGGCTGCGTTCAGCGAACATAAGTAACATATACACGCACCAGTCTTATAACAGACGCCATATTGAATTTTTGGCATCGTAGTTCACATTTCCTGGGGGCTATCTTTTAGATGGCGTTAAAACACTAGTCAGAATTTTCCCATAAGAGTTTATCAAGCCTGGTGCAGACCATCGACATATAGTACTGGACGGAACATTCAGCTAAACTTCTTTGATCTTGCGCGTTGAAAGACCTAGAAAGAGATAGCTAACTATACGGGCAGAGAGAAGAATGAGAGCGGCCACCGGCCGTATTTCGGGGGATACGGCTAGGCGCATTTTAGATACGCCATCTGACAAAATGTGCCTAAACTACGTCCGCTAGCCGCACTTTCGCGGTGGTAAAAGTAAAATGCGCCTAGGTTCGTGTCCGTACTACTTCCATGCAATGGATAGTAGATTAGAAAAAGACAGACGACAGACAATCGTTCCGTCTTTGTCTCACTACTGAGCGGCGCGCGGCAGTAAACACGAGGCGAGATAGCGGCGATCTTATCGCTAAGCGAACACCTCTCCGCTTTTCTTTCATCTTTCACGCTCCAGAGACATCAAAAGACGCGGTAGCGTCTCGTGTCAAGGGAACGTGCGAAGCGAGGAATTATTTTTCACGCACGCGAGGTAGCACATGGGAGACTAGACGAGCGTCGACATATTATCTGTTTCTTTCCCGCTCGTCTAGCTTATTGACTGCGTGAGCCGCGAGATTTTTCTCGCTACTCCTATACCTCGCTCTTTCTCTCTCACGCTCGTTCTTTCTCTCTCTCGCGCACTTGCTCGCTCTTCCTCTCTTCTCGTGTTCTTACGGCTTGATTAAATATATTAATTACATGACAATATATATATAAATAAATGACACATATATAGTGTATATGTATATAAAGAATATTTAGTATGTATGTATATATATTTATTCTCCCCTAAGGGTTCGAAGGCGCTTTTGCAGGGAGCGTTCCCCAACCCTTTACAACTCCTCCTTACAATTATTCGCTTCCCTTACTTTTTATTTTCTGGTCCTGGGGGAGAACTCGCGTCCCGCTTGCCGCTCGTCCTCCCCCTTGACACACACACACACCTCTCCCTTTTCCTGGACTTCCGTTTCCTTGGCCTTTCAATTAACATTCTTTTCCAATTCTTTGTCTACTTCCTCTCTGCCCATACCCCCCTCATCCCCATCCCTCTCCCTCTCCAATTCTCTCATCCACCTCTCTCCCTCTCCAATTCTCTCATCCACCTCTCTCCCTCTCCCTCCTCTCCCAATATCCTCCTTACTTCCTCTTTCCAACTCTTTTCGCTTCCATTTTCCCATCTCCTACATTCCTCCCACACATGCTCCCATATTTCCTCTTCCCTCTGACACAACTTACACCTCCTTTCCTCCTCCTTCCTCCAATACTGCCCTCCTCTCATCTCATTTCTCAATCTGAACCTCGCCATCCTTTTCCACCTACTTTCTCCCCACCCCTTCTTCAAGTACTGCGGTACCCTTCCCCTTTCCCATATTCATACCACCTATCATACCTTGACTCTCTTATCTTCTCCCCCCTCTCTCTTCTTCCTAGCTCCTCTCCCTTTTCTCTTATTTCTGTTACCAATGTCTCTCCCTCTCGTCTCCTTTTTCTTACCTCCCTCATGTCCCCTCCCCTTTCCTTGAAGAATTTTATCTTCCCCACCTCCCAACTCGTCAATCTCTCCCCCTTCTCCTCTCTCTTCTTTATCTCTTCTAGACATTTCCTCGCAATTTCGCTCCCCCTTCCCTCCTCCAGCCTTCTCTCCCATTTCCATGCCCTTAACCCCGCTCTCTCTCTTAACTTCTCTCTCTTCAATTCCTCCCTTACCATGTATCCTAGCGTTTCTCTCTTTACTCCTAGTATCCATCTCATGTATCTTTCCTGGCTTCTCTCTATCTCTTCCCTCTCCTCCCACCCCCATATTTCCACCCCATACCCTATCACCGTCCATACTAAACTATCATATAACCATATTCTTTTCCCCCATTCTCTCTCAAACCTTCTTTTCCCTATTCCCCATACTTGTCCCATCACCGTCATTCCTATTTTTATTCTTTCCTTTATATGCTTCTCCTGTCCCCCATCTTTCTGCATCACGTATCCTAAATATTCATATTCCTTCACTTCTTCCAATTCCTTTCCTTTCCATCTCCATTTCATCTCTCTCTCTCTACCCCCTCCCTTCCTAAATCTCATCACTTTTGTTTTCCCTATATTCACCTCTATCCCTTTCCTTTCCATATATCTTTCCAATCTCTCTATCATTGCCTTCATCCCCTCCTCCTCCTCCGCCATTATCACCACGTCATCTGCATATGCCAATGAATATATTTTCTCTTCTCCTATCTTTACTCCTCCTCACCTCCCTTTTTTTAATTCCTCTTCCATATCCGCCATTAACAAATTAAACATCCCTGAACTTAGTGGGCACCCCTGCCTCACTCCCCTTCCCGTCCAGAACCCCTCCCCTAGCTCCTCTTCCACCCTTACTCTGCTTATCGTCTCTTCCATCACCTCCTCACATCTCTCCACCAATCCCTTCCTCACCCTTCTTTCCCTCATCGCCCTTATCAACTCTCTTCTGTCCACCGTATCGAATGCTGCTTTCAGATCCACAAATAACGCCACCAGCTTACCCCCCTTCCTTCCTAATTGTCTATTTATCACATAATTCATCACATATATGTTGTCTATCACTCCTAACCCTTTCCTGAACCCCGTCTGATTTTGCGGTATCAACCCTTTCTCCTCCACCTCTTTTCTTAATCTTCCCGCTAATACCGATGCATAAATCTTGTACAACGTATTCATTAACGTTACTCCTCTGTACTCTCCCACTACTCTTCCCTCCCCCTTCTTCACTATCGGTACTACTATTCCTTCCTTCCATTCCTCTGGCCACTCTTCCCCTCTCCATACTCTATTACACATTTCCCTTATCCATTCCTCCATCCTCTCTCCTCCATATTTCCACGCTTCATTTGGTATCTCATCCCCTCCTACCGCCTTGTTGTCCTTTAATTTCTTCATTACCTCCTTAATTTCTTCCTTGCTTATTTCCTGTTCCTTCTCTCTTTCCTCTTTTCTCTTCCTTCCTCCTATCACTCTTCTCCCCACTCCTCCTAGTAACCCTCTAAAATATTCTTCCCATTCTTTCATTTCAATCTCTTCGTTTCTTCCCTTTCTTCTTTTCCTCTCCCTCCTCATTACTTCCCATATCTTCCCCTCTTTTACTTTTTTATTCACCCATCTCTCCCACCTCTCATTTTCTTCTTTCCTCTTTCCCTCGCATAACTTTTTATATTTTGATTTTTCTTCTCTATATCTCTCTCTATCCACCCCCTCTTCTCCATCTCCTCAATTCCCTCCTTTGCTTCCTCTTCTCTTCTCTACATTCCTCATCCCACCAACCTTTCCTCCTCTCCTTCTCGCCCTCTTCTTCTTCCCTTACTATTGCTCCCTTTATCCTTTTATTCATTTCCTTGATCTCCTCTTCTACCTTTCCTTCCCCTATTCTCACTTCCCCCAACTCTTCCCTAAATCTTTCTCTAGCCCTTTCAGTCCATACCCCTTTTTCTTTCCTTTTCTTCCCTCCCCCTCTCTTTCCCCTCTCTCTTCCTCCCTCCATCCTTACCGTTATTGGATAATGATCCGACTCTATATTATCCCCCACCTCAAAACTTTTTATCTTGCTCCATCCTTCCTCATTTACTATAACATAATCTATTACCGATTCTCCTCTTCCCCCTGTGTACATCCATTCCTCTTTCTCATCTCCTTCCTTCCCTCCGTTCACTATCATCCATCCTCTTTCATTTATACACTCTATCAATTCCTTTCCCTCCTTATTTTCCTGCTCGTCTTTCGATTTCCTATTCTCCTCCATCCCCTCTTCATCCACCCATATTCTCCCCCCTCTCCTTCCTGTCCTTGCGTTAAAATTTCCTCCAATTATCGTTCTTCCTCCTCCCCCTTCCTCTTCCATCCATTCCTTTAATCTTTCCAACCTTTTCCCTAAATCCCCCCTCACATATACTTCTATTATCCTCCATCTTCTTCCTTCTATTATTACATTCCCCACCATCACTCCCTCCATCTCCTCCCTCTCCTCCTCTTTCCCCCCTCTCGCTTCTAATTCCTTCCTTATTTCCATTATCATCCCCCCCCTTTGCTCTTCCTTTTCTATAAACTCTCTTTGCCGTATTTTCCATGTTTCCATTGTATTTTCCATGTATATCCCTTCGGTAGCTTCCCCCTTAACCACGCTTGTTCTTTTTCCTCTATCCATGTTTCCATTAACGTTATTACATCCCATTTTTCTATCTCCCTCCAAAACTCCCTATCTTTCTTTCTCAATCCTGCTACATTCCAGAATGTCGCCTTTAAATCTCTCTTTCCTTCTTCCCCTCTTTCCTTCCTATTTCCTCCTCTCCCCTCTCCTCTTCTATCTCCGCCTAGTTTCCCTCCTTCCCATTTTCCCTCCCCTTCCCCCTCCCTCTCCTCTCCTCTCCCTCTACTGTCAATACTTTCTTTTCCCCTTTTCTATTAACCACCCCCCTCACTTCTTCGTTCCACCTCCACCATTCCTCATTTATTCTTATTTTTCCATACCCTCTCCAAACCCTACTTCCTTTTCCTTCTTCTTCATCCGCTATTCTTCTCATTATCCACCTTGCTCTCCTTTCCTCATATGTCAAATCGTCTTCTATCCATACCTTGCTTCCTTTCAGTTTCTTTTTCCTTTCCATTATCCTGCTTTTTTCCTCCTCACTATTTAATTCCACCACTACTATTTCTCTTTCATCCCCCTTTCCCGTCTTTATCCTCCTTATTCTTTTTCCAATCCCCTCTTTCATTCCTATTTCTTTCAGTATCTTTTCCACCTCCTCTCTTACCTCCCCTTTTCCTATTTCTATCCCCCTCATCACTATATTCCTTCTTCTTTTCTCCCTCTCTCTTTCCTCCTCCCTTTTTTCCAATACTTTCATTCTCTCCTCCATTTCTCCCTTCCTCTCTTCTGCTTCTCTTCTACTCTCCCTTTCCCTCTCTTCCTCCACCTTCTTTACTCTTTCTTCTATCTTTTTTATCATCTCCCCTTCCCCTCCCTTCCCTTCTATCTCTTCCCATTTCCTCTTTAAACTCTCTATTCTATCCCTCATCTCCTGCTTCTCTTTCTCCCATGTTTCCTCCCTCCTCCTCATTTCCTTCCTTAACCCTTCTATTTCCTCTTTTACCTCTTTAAACCCTCCTCTTATTTCCTTCCTTATTTCCTCTAATGAATTCTCCCTTTCCCTCCCCTCCTCTTCCCCTTTTACTGGTGACCTCACTGTCTTCCTACTTTTCATAAATCCCATCTCCTCCTCCTTCTCTCTTTTCCTTTTCCACATCTCCCCTATCATTCCCGTACTCCCTCTTCTCCCTCCCTCCTCCCCCCCTTTCCCCTCCATTCCCTTTTCTTCCCTCCCCCTTACTCCTCTCTTCCTTCTCTATTTCCTCCATTCTTATCTTCCCCTTTCTCTCCTTTAAACTTCGCTCTTTTCTCTTCCTCCTTCCTCCTTTCTCCTACAGATGTCGTTCCTTCTCCTTCTTGCCTCTCTTCTATCTGCTCCTATACTCCTTGACCGTATCTTTTCTCTTATTTTCTCCCCTCTATAAACTTTCTTTCCCTGCTCCTCTCTAGTCGTCCCTAACCTCACTCTCTCACCCGTATCTTTCACCCCCTTTCCACTCTCTCTCTCTCTCTCTCCCTTCTCGCCTCCACTCACCTCCACTCCCGCTCACTCTCTTCACACTCTCTCCTCCCCCCTCCTCCAATTCTGTCTCCTACACTCTCCTTTTCTCTCCTCCTTTCACTCTACTAGAAACCCTCTCCTATACTTTACGCCGCCGGAAACGGAAGTGAAGAATATTTAGTATTAATGCACAAATAAAGAAGAGAGAATTATAATGAGAGACGAAAAGTTAATAGAAATCCACTCTTAGCCAATATATACATCTTTTAAAAATGATTTGTTATTAAAGTATATGACAGAATAATTTATTTATGCTAATAAATTTAAATTAAAAATTAAATTAAATGTTATTTGTTTTGTAAAAGATATTCCATTGCTACATTTTTCTTTTCGTAGCAAAAATAAATTTAGTCTAGTAAAAAAAGAAATTAGTTTTATTATCATATTTCAATTACGACTTTATTATTTAATTTTACGAATAGATAACGTGCATATTGTTGCTCAACGGAAACCGCGAGAAGATGGTGATCTCCGTCAAAAAATAAATGCAAACTTTTTAATAATATAATAATTTTTTTACATAAGTGTTTGTTTTTATAGTATAACCTGTTGAATTTTATTAATTATTAATTCAGCATGTTATAGTATAAAAAATATATTTTAATATAAAAATTAATGTAATATTAATTGTTTGCATTTGCAAGAAATATGGATAGAACAGGATAGGTTGCAATGGTTACATAGGAAGAAAAAAGATAGATGGATAAATAGATAGATAGATAGATAGATATAGAGATAGATATAGATGGATAAATAGATAGACAGATAGATAGATAGATAAATAGATAGATGGATAGATAGATATAGAGAAATAGATAGATAGATAGTTAGATAATATAGAAAAAAAGATAAATAGAAATATAATTATCATTATTATTATTATTAATGTTTTCAGTAAAGAGAACATTCGCTTAAACGTAAGTCTTACTTAGGTCCAGTTTCACGACTTATATTATATTAACCGGAATATATTATACGACTTATATTATATTAACCGGAATATATTATACGATTTATATTATTTTAACCGGAATATAATTCGTTAATATTAGAAGTACCGAGCGGTTATTTCTGATCGTTTCTATTTTTTAGATTAACATTCTGTTTCTTTAAGATTACAGGATTTTTGTTTTGAGGGTTTAATGTGATGTTTGTAAAGAATTTCGTATATAAATTTCTACATATAAGATTAAAAATATGAAAAATATTGCAGTGAAAGCAAGGAGGTTCCACGGTGCGCACGATATCTCAATAACTATTTGACCAATCGACTTGCAACTTGGCAGCATTATAAAATAGACTTCTCTTTACCGTTTTAACTACAATTAACCAAATTCATTAATAATTAATATTTTTTATTAAACTTTACCGAGAGGCCAGAAATAGACGATTTTTGTTCTAAATGCTACCATTTTATTATTTGTGTTCCGATTGTAGTTCAGACGATAGCTATACTTATAGAAAATAAAAAACTACTTTAAATAATTATGAAAAATTAAATCACACACATTTAGAAATTCCTTGGAATCGTCTATTTGCAACCTCTTTGCTTTTACTGCAATATTTTATATATTTTTAACCTTACATACTTGTAGAAAAATGTATATATATTCTTCAAACATCATTAAGCAAACTCTCAAAACCCGTAATCTTTTAATCATGTGATCTTTTTCGCTTCCGCAAAAAAAATTAACGAAATATACGTATTTTTTGTCGGGTTGAATAAGATAACTCTTTAAAAGCCTATCTAAACAAAATTACATAATCGCATCATTGATATGCACAAGGAAATCAACCAATCATAATCCGTACAAGCGTGCCTTTTATATTAGACATATTTTACATTTAATTAATCTGTTTCCTTCTCTAGAACAAATAATCATCAAAGGTCAAGATAACGTCAAAATTATTTTGACTTAATTTTGATATCATCTTCACTTTTATATAATTATTTGTTCTACTTCAGTTATGCATATGAACAATACGACTATGCAAGTTTGTTTCAATAAGTCTTAAACTCCGGTTAAAATAAATTATGAAACTAAATCTTAGCGTTTTTCAATCATCGGCATCTTTCACGATGTTACGATTATAAATATTATCTATATAACCAATTGTAACCTACACAATGGAACGCTCTTCGATTGAACCGATTGAAGTTGCTCATATCAATTATCAATGATATATGGCCTTTCATTACATTCTCTAAGTTTCAATTGTTAATTGAATAATTCCTTTCACAAGTCAAATATTAACATACTGATTTGAAACATAATGCAAAAAGCTCGAAAATAAATGCGAAGCAGAGAAGAGATTAACAATGAATGATTATTATTTAATATGCAACTTACATTAACATGGAATGTCTAATTGGCTTAATGTCTCGAAGCTACTGAATATGAATTTCTGCTCAAATCACTTCCTTTCTGTAGGAGGTTTTGGCTGTTTCGGTTACTTTCCTCTACATTTATATTGATGAGTTGAAGCACTTGTTTCTACGAGATGTTTAAAATTCGGTTGACTTTACGAGTATTGAACACTCTAAAGTCAACCGAATTTTAAACATCTCGTAGAAACAAGTGCTTCAACTCATCAATATAAATGTAGAGGAAAGTAATCGAAACAGCCAAAAACCTCCTACAGAAAGGAAGAGATTTGAGCAGAAATTCATATTCAGTAGCTTCGAGACATTAAGCCAATTAGACATTCCATGTTAATGTAAGTTGCATATTAAATAATAATCATTCATTGTTAATCTCTTCTCTGCTTCGCATTTATTTTCGAGCTTTTTGCATTATGTTTCAAATCAGTATGTTAATATTTGACTTGTGAAAGGAATTATTCAATTAACAATTGAAACTTAGAGAATGTAATGAAAGGCCATATATCATTGATAATTGATATGAGCAACTTCAATCGGTTCAATCGAAGAGCGTTCCATTGTGTAGGTTACAATTGGTTATATAGATAATATTTATAATCGTAACATCGTGAAAGATGCCGATGATTGAAAAACGCTAAGATTTAGTTTCATAATTTATTTTAACCGGAGTTTAAGACTTAAGCTAAGACTCCATGCATGCGGTGAGCTCCGGCAAATGCTGCGGTGACCAATCAGGAGGGAGGCGCAAGTCCGGTTGCGGCAAGCTCCGGCATGCCGCACCGCACTGCGTTGCGATTAAAATATTTTAATTTTTCCGCACTGTGCCGCACGTCATACGTGCGTCGGATGAATTTGAGAACGCAAAAAGTAGTGAATTTACAACCATCCTTTTTGTAGGTTACGTTATATGTCATATGATACACAAACATGGATTTAATAAGTGAGGACTATTCATGTACGGAATATAGTACTGAGGGTATCAATGAGTTAATAATTCATTATGTAAGAAACCGCCCACAATTGTGGGATTTGAATGATAAGTGCTACCGAAATAATGGTCTGAAAAAAAAATTGTGGTGTGAGGTTGCCCACGAACTTAATATGACTGGTATGTATTATTATTGTGTTATTATTTGAATTATTAGTATATATTATTTGAAAATGTGTATAAAAACAATGTATATGTATGGATTATATATGGTTTTATATAATTTAAATAGAGGAATTTGTGAAGAACCGTTGGAGAAATCTTCGAGATCGGTATATAAAGGAGAAAAAAAAGTCTGTAACAAAAAGTGGGCAAGCAGCTGTTCATTTTGTACCATGGTCATTTATGGAACATTTACATTTTTTATCCGATACAGTGGAACCTCGCAAGTAGGTGTTATACTTTCTTCAAATGTGAAGTTATAATAATTTTATTGTAGTTGATACAAAATTTATGATATTAATTTTCGTTTTTATTTCAATAACGAATGTAATTGTCAGTTTCTCATTTTCATAAACAGTATGCTCTCAAGTAAAGTAATAACTGTTTTATAATGTCTCAATTAGGACTATAACAAACTTCGAAAGTTTAGAACATCCCTTATCTAGAAGCGATACATCACCAACATCTTTGGAGACTTTTCAATCTGAAGAATATATGTACAACATACAAGAAGAGTTTCAAGGTAAGAGGAACAAAAGATAGTAGTGTAAATAACTCTATGCTAGGATGTTATATGAAAGTATTTGAAACTGTCCTACAGTTTTTGTCCTACAGTTCCCCTGTACCTGTATCAACAATATAACTGTTATATTGTTGAGTAGGAAATTTTCTTTATAAACAATTTTCTTTATAAAAGAAAATTGTTTTTAAGTAAAACATATTTTAATAAACATTTCATTACATTCTTTTAAACATTATTTTACAGACAATATGTGGGATAACATAAGACAGACAGAACAAACAGATTTTTGTTCACCGCATTTATTAAATATGCCGTCTCGTCCTTCTAATAGTGCCTCTCCTCGTCCTAATAATATTTTGTCTTGTTCTAACAGTGCTTTGATTCGTCTTGATAGTGTCTCCCCTCGTCCTAATAGCTCCTCCCCTCGTCCTAATAACGCTTCCCCTCGTCCTCATTATGCCTCCTCTCGTCCTAATAGTGCTTTCTCGTCCTGATAGTGTCTCGTCTCGTCCTCAGACTAGTCATCGAATGAGTAGTCATTCTCAAAATCAGCCTACAGCCAGCAAATATGCAAAACGAAGTAAATTAATATTTTTATTAAATATATATTTCTTTGTTTGTGCAAAATTGTACGGCATATTTAAATTACTTAATTAAGAATTAAACAGTTTGTTCAGTGCGTGTACATACATGCACTGTATAAATAAAATATTCAAGTAAATCAGTTGTAAAGTACACACACTGAACAAACTGTTTAATTCTTAATTAAGTAATTTTAATTTAATTTATTATATATATAGTTGATTAATGTGTCAAATTTACTATAAAATAATAATGATTTTATACGACATAATTGCAAAAATTTGATAAAATATATATTTATATTATTAATGTTTATTTTCTTTTTCAGCAAAAAGACAATTGTCTGAAACGGGTATAGATGCGGTTGATGAAGCAATTTTAAATTTAGTGGGAAAACAAAATTCGGCAGATACTATGAATTCAGACGATCTTTTTTATTTATCTATATCTCGGGATTCACAGCAACTAAACGTAAACGCAAAATTACGCTTAAAGACACTTGTACTACAAGTACTTTCTCAAGTTATAACAGAGGAACAAAATAAAAATTAATCGATTGCACTTTTATATTAATTATGTGTTTCAATCAATTTACCTTCTGCCTGTTGCATGTATGCTTCTCGTTGAAAGTTTGGTAGCTTATTCCATTGCCAAGGTACGTAACCTTCCTTCATAAAATAATCTGCGTACGTATTTCGTATTATCTTGGCGTCATTTGCTGAGTTTCTTCTTATATTTGATGCTAAATCTCTAAGTGCACCAGATGGTGCTTCGTTTCGCCATTGACCAGGTTCTACATTTCCAAAGCGATCTTCTTCATCTATAAATCGTACTGGAATATATTTTCTCTGACCAGGTAAAACTTTCAGATCTGAATCTCGAAGCCAATTGTGCAGTGCCACACAACTTTTAACTATATTATCTACAGTTGAAGGTGACGCTACAATTGGTCGTCGAAATATTCTCCACCTGGCTGACATTACTCCAAATGTATTTTCAACTACACGCCTTGCTGTACTCAAGCGGTAATTGAAAATAACTTGTTTTGCACTCAAGTTAACACCAGGATATGGTTGTAACAAATTATTCAATAATGGGAATGCTGCATCACCATCAAATACAGCAGGAAGGCAAATATTTGTACCTGGTAAGGCTTTAGGTACAGGTAATGGCAGTGTATTTGTCTCAATGCATCTTCCAAAAACCAGATTTTGAAAAATACCTCCATCACTTTCTCTACCAGCAGAACTAATGCTTATGTAAAGCGAAGATTAGCATCAGCAACTCCCATTAAGACTGTGCTGAAAGTGCCTTTATAATTGTAAAAAGTTGATCCTGTATTTTTAAAACATTGTATAGTAACATGTTTTCCGTCAATTGCTCCGACACAATTTGGAAAATTCCATTTATTTTCAAAATCCTCTGCAATTTTGGACCATGTTTCCACACTTGGTGGAGGAAGAGTGTGCCGCTGGCTTAAGACCGGCTTAAGATGTGGCTTGAGCAATTACTATGCATCTACAAATCTCAAGTTATACTTCATATTTGATTATGAAATGATATTTACTTGACTAAGTACAAACTTAAGATTCAGCTTCGAATTTGGTCTTAAGTTATGTCTATGAATTAACTGCTGTCTTGAGAACTTAAGCTCGTCTTGAAACTCAAGATATGTCTAAGGCCGGTATTCATAGTCAGGTCTTATATTTAGGACCGCCTTAAGTTCATCTTCAGATACTTTGTAGCCAATGAAATAATTTGTACAGCATCTGAAGATGAATTCCGGTATTCATAGTCGGATCTTATATTTAAGACCGTCTTAAGTTTATCTTCAAAATCTGTACAAAGCATTTCATTGGCTATAGAGTATCTGAAAGTGAACTTAAATTCTTAGTCAGGTCTTAAATATAAGACCTGACTATGAATACCAGCCTATGAATTCCGCCCTTATTGAGACAAACTTGCATAGTCGTATTGTTCATATGCATAACTGAAGTAGAACAAATAATTATATAAAAGTGAAGATGATATCAAAATTAAGTCAAAATAATTTTGACGTTATCTTGACCTTTGATGATTATTTGTTCTAGAGAAGGAAACAGGTTAATTAAATGTAAAATATGTCTAATATAAAAGGCACGCTTGTACGGATTATAATTGGTTGATTTCCTTGTGCATATCAATGATGCGATTATGTAATTTTGTTTAGATAGGCTTTTAAAGAGTTATCTTATTCAACCCGACAAAAAATACGTATATTTCGTTAATTTTTTTTGCGGAAGCGAAAAAGATCACATGATTAAAAGATTACGGGTTTTGAGAGTTTGCTTAATGATGTTTGAAGAATATATATACATTTTTCTACAAGTATGTAAGGTTAAAAATATATAAAATATTGCAGTAAAAGCAAAGAGGTTGCAAATAGACGATTCCAAGGAATTTCTAAATGTGTGTGATTTAATTTTTCATAATTATTTAAAGTAGTTTTTTATTTTCTATAAGTATAGCTATCGTCTGAACTACAATCGGAACACAAATAATAAAATGGTAGCATTTAGAACAAAAATCGTCTATTTCTGGCCTCTCGGTAAAGTTTAATAAAAAATATTAATTATTAATGAATTTGGTTAATTGTAGTTAAAACGGTAAAGAGAAGTCTATTTTATAATGCTGCCAAGTTGCAAGTCGATTGGTCAAATAGTTATTGAGATATCGTGCGCACCGTGGAACCTCCTTGCTTTCACTGCAATATTTTTCATATTTTTAATCTTATATGTAGAAATTTATATACGAAATTCTTTACAAACATCACATTAAACCCTCAAAACAAAAATCCTGTAATCTTAAAGAAACAGAATGTTAATCTAAAAAATAGAAACGATCAGAAATAACCGCTCGGTACTTCTAATATTAACGAATTATATTCCGGTTAAAATAATATAAATCGTATAATATATTCCGGTTAATATAATATAAGTCGTATAATATATTCCGGTTAATATAATATAAGTCGTGAAACTGGACCTAAGTAAGACTTACGTTTAAGCGAATGTTCTCTTTACTGAAAACATTAATAATAATAATAATGATAATTATATTTCTATTTATCTTTTTTTCTATATTATCTAACTATCTATCTATCTATTTCTCTATATCTATCTATCCATCTATCTATTTATCTATCTATCTATCTGTCTATCTATTTATCCATCTATATCTATCTCTATATCTATCTATCTATCTATCTATTTATCCATCTATCTTTTTTCTTCCTATGTAACCATTGCAACCTATCCTGTTCTATCCATATTTCTTGCAAATGCAAACAATTAATATTACATTAATTTTTATATTAAAATATATTTTTTATACTATAACATGCTGAATTAATAATTAATAAAATTCAACAGGTTATACTATAAAAACAAACACTTATGTAAAAAAATTATTATATTATTAAAAAGTTTGCATTTATTTTTTGACGGAGATCACCATCTTCTCGCGGTTTCCGTTGAGCAACAATATGCACGTTATCTATTCGTAAAATTAAATAATAAAGTCGTAATTGAAATATGATAATAAAACTAATTTCTTTTTTTACTAGACTAAATTTATTTTTGCTACGAAAAGAAAAATGTAGCAATGGAATATCTTTTACAAAACAAATAACATTTAATTTAATTTTTAATTTAAATTTATTAGCATAAATAAATTATTCTGTCATATACTTTAATAACAAATCATTTTTAAAAGATGTATATATTGGCTAAGAGTGGATTTCTATTAACTTTTCGTCTCTCATTATAATTCTCTCTTCTTTATTTGTGCATTAATACTAAATATTCTTTATATACATATACACTATATATGTGTCATTTATTTATATATATATTGTCATGTAATTAATATATTTAATCAAGCCGTAAGAACACGAGAAGAGAGGAAGAGCGAGCAAGTGCGCGAGAGAGAGAAAGAACGAGCGAGAGAGAGAAAGAGCGAGGTATAGGAGTAGCGAGAAAAATCTCGCGGCTCACGCAGTCAATAAGCTAGACGAGCGGGAAAGAAACAGATAATATGTCGACGCTCGTCTAGTCTCCCATGTGCTACCTCGCGTGCGTGAAAAATAATTCCTCGCTTCGCACGTTCCCTTGACACGAGACGCTACCGCGTCTTTTGATGTCTCTGGAGCGTGAAAGATGAAAGAAAAGCGGAGAGATATTCGCTTAGCGATAAGATCGCCGCTACCTCGCCTCGTGTTTACTGCCGCGCGTCGCTCAGTAGTGAGACAAAGACGGAACGATTGTCTGTCGTCTGTCTTTTTCTAATCTACTATCCATTGCATGGAAGTAGTACGGACGCGAACCTAGGCGCATTTTACTTTTACCACCGCGAAAGTGCGGCTAGCGGACGTAGTTTAGGCACATTTTGTCAGATGGCGTATCTAAAATGCGCCTAGCCGTATCCCCCGAAATACGGCCGGTGGCCGCTCTCATTCTTCTCTCTGATACGGGAATGGATCTCTCTTTCTACTCTCTGTTCATTGGTTGAATTTTGTCTAAGGAGAAAGGGTACAGTATCGTACTTTTAAGGGGGTATCATACTCTGGTGGCCCGAAAATGAGGGTCAATTTCAGGATTTTTTTGTGACAAAGTGGTAGGCCAATCAGGTTCATGACATATACGATATTTAAGTACATGTTTAGGTGCATTTACTGTATTTTTTATATAAGGAAATATTGAGAAATATAAAAGTTATATGTAATTTCGCAGAAGCCGTTCGCGCGCGCGCTCGACTACGGTGTACATAGTGTTTCCTTTACGGCGTGCCTGAAAGCAAAAATGCAAAAAGAATATTAAACTAGAATATATTTCCTACAAGTTGACGAAGGAAAATTGTAAAAAAGTTAAAAATTGTGAAAGTTATGGCACTTCGAAAAAAGGGTTCATTTTTTACCGAAAAAAAACGACGGTCTTTTTATTGTTATTAATACATGGTTCACCGGGGACAAAAAACTCTATGTCAACTTGAGCATTGTACTTTTATATTGATGTAAACAAAAAGGTAAGACAGCCGGAATAAAAGTACGTTCGGAATCGTGTACACCGTGTACACCGAAAAAGTCGTTTCGAGATAAACGCGTTTAAAGTTTCGGTGACTGTTTTCTACGAGATACAGTGATAATTATTTCATCTTACCATTATTTTGCTGTTCCTGCACCATATTGCAGCCCTTCTGCATCAGCTAAAATGTCCTCTGCAGCCAATCTTTCAAGCCTACGAGCTGATCGTGCCTCTCGCGTGCTTTCCTGTGCTCGACGGTCGGCAGCTTCAACGCGCTGTTCATCAGCATACACGCACCACTGATGTGCTTTGTCGCCAATTTTCATATGCAACACCTGCATAATATCCAAATATGCCATTGCTCCCTCGTTGAATGAACTGCAGACAATATTTGCTGCTATTTGGACGACCTCAGCACCCTCGGAGGATATTTTTGGCGCGATTTTCCATATGACGGAGTTTACACTTTCATTACTATTTTGATTGTAGCCTCCCAGGCACCGCGTTAGTAAATCGTCCGTACTGAGTGCTTCATACACTGGTGAAATTGCATCTCGAACATCTTGAGAAAGTGGTGACTTATGACGATATTCCTTTAATTTTCTCTGATGTACTTGTATTGGCTGTCTCCTGCTCCTTCTCAGATGGATTCAAAGGACGCATCCTTTTTTCTGTCTAGAAGGTCTTCTTCCAGTATCTCTAGAACCTTTCTGACTTGCACTTGCTCGTCTCTTCAGCATTTTACTTTCG